CGGTGGTTCTTTAGCAACTGGACTGGGCCAGGCCTGGGTGATGGTGGCTGTTGGTAGCCAGTGCTACCCCCGACTGGGCCCTGACCCTCCTCTGGCTTCCAAATCCCCCCACCACGAAGGGCCACTCAGAGTCTATCCCATGACGGGCATCCAGTTTCCCCTTTTCTCTCCTGAGACCAGGCCCAGGGAGCTGTGGGGTGTGACGCCTGGATGGGGGAAGGGGGCTTCCTGCCGCAGGCCCATCCCCCCAGTGCCCTAACCTCAGGTTCCTCCTAATGAGCCCCAGCTTAGGCTCTGGTCGGGGGGACTAGAAGTCCCTGTCTCCTCCTGGGTGCCTTCCCTCCGTCCTCACTTCCAGCTACTTCCTCATTTGGTGGTGCAGCCCAGCGCAGTGGTCAGCATGTCGTCCCCCACTCGCCTCACCCCAAACCCCCAGTCCTGTGTCTGTGCTGTGCATATCTGTGTCACTGTCTATCCCTCTCTCTTTTTTCTCGGCCTCGCCGCCCCTTTCTCCTTCCCTATCTTTCATCTTGGTTCTTTTTTCTTTCTAAGGGTCAAATATCTGTCCTTGGGTCCTGTGTTTCCTTCTCAGCTTTATTTGCTGTGTGACTTTGCACGAGTGTCTGTACCTTTCTGTACAATGGGGATGACGAGAGCATCTACCTCTGATGGGTGTTGTGGGGGTTAAAAGAGTTAACACCTTAGGACCGAACGCCTGCTGCTCATTAGTGCCCATATCCTGATGGCTCTCTTTTAATATCCTATAAACATCACAAAGTTCTGATTATCAGATAATTATAGCTGGTGCTTATAAAAAGCTGACGAGTGTCGGACCCTGTTCTAGAGACATTAATCCATTTGCTCCCCCAAACCCCTACAAAATAGGCGCTATTTTACTCCTCATTTTACAGATAAGGAAACTGAGGCCCAGAGAGGTTGAATGACTTGTTTAAGTTTGCCCAGCCAGGAAGAGGCAAAACTCGCTTCAGTAATAGCCACTGACTCTTCCTGGTACACTGAGGGCTGACCCCTGATCGGGGGTGGATGGGCACATGTACCCTTTTTCCTCTTATGTCCAGTGGTTAGGGGCCACAGCATGGCCCCCAGGGTGTCTTGGTCTAATTCTTCCTGGCATTATCTGTCTCCGTCCCTCCTCCTGTATTGTCCCCTCCTCCCTCCTGCCACCACCCACCTCAGACTTCCTCCTTCACTTGGTTGGACGCTACACCACATCCCACCAGCCCTTGGACTCCGGTGTCCAGCAGTGTCGCCTGCGTCATGGGGGTCCTTGGACCTTCCAACAGGCTCCTGTTCCTGCCTCTCCTTCTGACTGTGGGTGGTGAGTTGGGGGCTTCTACAGCTGCCTCCTGAGTCCCTGGGCTCAGCTTGGGGCAGAGCAGGGAGCGGGGTAGAAAGAGAACCAAAAGGGAGGTGGGGGAAAGCAGATCCCCAGTTCCCCAAAACTTATGGCTGTCTCCCAGAGCCTGAGACCCCAAGATGTGGCCGCTGGTAACAGCAGGGGGAGGGGACTCTATGGATGTTGCAACAGGACAAGTCGGGGTAGAAGTAACTTAGTCCAGTGACCTTGATGCCGGCCCACAGGTCCCACCAGACATCGCTTTCCACTCTTAATCTCCTAGCTATCAGGGCCCACCCTCCCCAGCTTCTGTGCCCACCCTCCAATCACAGCCCCATGCCTCAATTTACCTTCTTTTTCTCTCCTCAGGTTTCAGCCCTGTCCAGGCACAGAACGGTAGGCCTGGACTCTGAAGTTCCCCTCCCTACCTCCTAAAGACCTCCCCATCTCTGTCTGTTCCCCAGTCTCTCCACACCTTCCCCTGCTGACACCTCCTGCCAGTTCCCATCTCCCACTGACCACCCCCAACCCCTGTGCCACATTCTCAGGATGCAACTGCTCCGTGGTAAGTCCTGGGGTGCTGGCGGGGATCGTGCTGGGGGACCTGGTGCTGACCCTCCTCATCGCCTTGGCTGTGTACTCCTTGGGCCGGCTGTTCCCTCGGGGGCGAGGGGCTGTGGAGGGTGAGTGAGGCTGGCAGGGGATAGCCTGGGAACCTCTGAGGGAGGGGTAAGCTCCCAAGTCACAACCATCCAAAGGGACAATGATGGAGGGGCTGATTTTGCAGCAGCAAAATGGTCCCAATTCACCACCTTAACTATCTCTGCACTCTGCACTACTCCCCATCCCCCAGCAGTGACCAGGAAACCGCGCATCACTGAGACAGAGTCGCCTTATCAGGTGAGAAAACCAGCTTCTCTTCCTCACATCTCACTCTTACCCTGTGGGTGTCTGTCCTAAACATTTCCCCAGTCCTTCTAGAACCTAGACCCTAAAGCCACTTTCTCAGCAACATTTCAAACCCTCAAAGACTCATGGGGCATCTGTCCAAAGCTGCCTTCAATGATCAGTCATGACCTTATGCTCAGCTTAAAATGTGTGAGAAAACATAGGGAGGGCTTTACCTTCGCAAGAGCAAATGTAGGCCATAGTGAGAAGGCAGGCACGGAATTGTTCAGGACAGGATGATTTCTGGGAGAAGCTCTCAGAAGGGCAGAGGACATAATTCAGCCCTAATTTGGTAACTCTGAAGAGAGGAGTTTTAGAATTTTTTGGAAGATCCTATATCCCTTTGAGAAGCTGATGAAAGCTAGAGACTCCTCAGAAAAATCCACATAAAAATTTATAGAATTGTGCATATAATCTAGGGTTGGCACAGGTATCTTGAAACCCTTCTTAAGAACCACCATGCAGGGGCGCCTGGGTGGCTCAGTCAGTTAAGCATCTGACTCTTGATTTTGGCTCAGGTCATGATCTCAGGGTTGTGGGATCAAGCCCCGTCTGGCTCCGTGCTCAGTGGGGGTCTGCTTGGGATTCTCTCTCTCCCTCTCCCTCTGCCCTTCCACTCCCACTCGTTCTCTCTCTCTCTCAAATAAATAAATCTAAAACGAGAAATGATTCCCCTTCCACGTGCGCATGCGCGCGCTCTCTCTCTAAAAAAAAAAAAAAAAAGAGCCACCACTCAGATAGAGGCATCTTTCCATTGCTTGCCTCTCTATCAGTGCCCTTTAGGGGGTCATGGGCTCCTGTGAGAATCTAATGGAAGCCAAACAGACCCCTTCCCATAAAGGTGCACACCCAGACATTTGCTTATGATTTCAGGGATTCAGTCTGAGGGCCTCTTGAGGCCATAGACCCCACCCCCCAAAATTGTAAGCCTTGTTCTGTGAAGTCTCTTACTTATCTGCAACCAGGTTTGCTTTGCCTCACTTGTGGATAAAAAGTCTCTTTGTAAAGTGTAAGCATCTCGAGTTTGGCTTTGTGAGGTCCAGAAGAATGAGGGAATTTTCAGTTACCGGCGGTAGTGAAATTTTAGGGCAAAGCAATATTCTAATTTATTCATCCTTCAGTGGAATTTGTTGAGCACCTACATAGCAAGAGAGTTTACATCCCAGCTGGGGAGATGGACTTGAAGCAAATTAAGAGATAAGAAAATTTGGGGAGGTATCATGGGGAAATAAAACTGGTGTGACCGTGACTGGAGTGTGTGTCTGGTGGGGAGAAGTTAGATGGCAAAATCAAGAAATGCTTCTCTGAGGAAGTGACATGAGCTGAGACTTGAAGGGGGAGAAGGAACCATCCCTGGGAATATCTAGGAAACCCGTGTTCCAGGCAGAGAGAACAGCTTATGCAAAGGCCCTGAGGCTGGGGCGAAATGATGAGGCAGAGGAGACAGGGAAACACTAAATGCACTTGATTAAGATCCAGATCTTTTCCATGGCTACAAGGTTGAAGAAGCTGCTAGGAGCCTTAAAGGCCACTGGGAGAAGGCTGAATTTTGTTATAAGTTTATTCAGTGGACCTCACCCACTAATGGTTCCCACCCTGTCCCTCCCATTAGGAGCTTCAAGGTCAGAGGTCAGATGTCTATAGTGACCTCAAAACACAGAGGCCTTATTACAAATGAGCCCAAACCACAGCAGTCAGCAACCTGATGCCTGGATCCAGTCATTCCTGATGCCTCCCTAGCACCCTATTCCTACTCCCACCAAGACACAGATCCACAGAGTGCCCTCCCTGAGGGGTCAGACTTCTTTCCACTACTGTTCCCAAATAAACATGGCACACAAAAACACTGTTGAGTTATTCCAGATCTCTCGGCTGAGGGGGCAGGGATATGTGGGGTTCTGGGGGATCATGGACCCAGAAACAGCTAAATGGGAGGGAGGTTTGGGGACCTTGGGGTTCTTTGAGGAAGAATCAGAACCAGAGGTAGTTTAATTGCTTTATTCCACCCCAAAGTGGGGAGTGCGTTTCCTGTGTGGCCGCACACAATGTGGGATGAGAGGGTCAGAAGTCAAAGGTCTCACAAGGGGGTCAGCCCCTGCCCAGCATGTTGATGTAGACTTTGTCATCTTCTGGGGGTGGGGGAGAGAAAGCATGAGGCCTGACCACCTACCACCCACCCACATCTCTACCTTCCTGGGGACCCCCTGCCTCAGGGGTTTCCTCCGGAGTTCCCCCCTGCACCGCCTCCAGGGTTTCCCCAGCATCTCCTCCAGGGCTTCCCTGGGGGGCCCCTCCCTTGGGGACCCCCTCTCTAGGGACACCTCTCCCTCCGGGCCCCACCCTGTCTCTGCCCTCACCTAGGGGGGGCCTGTGGCGTGGGCAGGCACACACAAACACCACGGCAATGATGAGCAGCGACACCACCGCGTCGGCGGCCATGAGCCCTGCCAGGATTGGCAGAGAGAGGGGCCCACATCCGGAACAGGAACCTGGAGGGTGCGGCAGAGACAAGAAGGCGCTTGAGGGAGGTTCCAAACCCTGAGGGCTGCACTCGGGGCCTATGGGGCCCGAGGAAGTCCCTGGGGGGAGGCAGGAGTGTCTGAGATTCCCTGAGTTGGACTTGGGGGATGAAAAGGGAGGTGGGGGTCTGGAGAGAAGCCCGGGGCGGGGGGCGGGCGGGGATGGGGCGTGCCAGCATAGAGAGACATATGTGGTTCTTTGGGCATAGTGGGTACTCCCAAAGAAGGCTGGGGGGTGGCCGAGTCCCTGGGGCTTCAATTTGGTGATGAGGCAGTGATCTGGGGGCCCAGAGAGGACTGCAGTTCCCCTGGGGGCTCTGATTTGGGGCTGAGAGGTGAGCTGGTGACCTAGAGAGCCACCGGGGGTGTTCCAGGACCCTCAGGCCACACTTCAGGGATAGAAGCAGTACCACGGCAAAAGGGAAGGGGTGCTGATTTCTCACCTGGGGTCACCCCAGCTGCAGCCACTGTGAAAAGAGAGGGAAAGTGGATTAGCAGGGAGAGGTGCTGTCCTGAGAAGTAACCTCCATTCCGGAGAGAGCAAATGAGAAAGAGGCCAGAGAGACAGAAAATCAGAAGTAGACGTAGAGACAGACCCAGCAGTGAGAAGCGGAGATTGACAGGCAGCTACCCCAGACTGAGCTTCTCTCCCCAAAGAACCAGGCTCTGAAGCCAGAACAGATCTCCAGGAAGGAAGGGGTCCTGGGAGGACGTGCCCTTAGCACTCCTCCCTTCAGAGGCCACCCAAGCCACCCCTCTCATAAGGACTCTGCCTGCCGCCCCCCATAACCACTGGCTTTACCTGGGAGCAAAAGCAGGAGCAGGATGACACCTGAAGGGGCCATGGTGGGCTGGGGGCAAGAAGCGGTCTGGCAAAAGGCTTTGGTCCAGAGAAGTCCTGAGGAACAGTGGGGGAGTAAAGAAGGAGCAATAGCGGATGTCGCCCTGCTGGTGGCAAGGTCACCTGCTTCCTGTGTGAGGGTGTGGGAGGGGGAGAAGTGGTGGGTCCCTGTGACTGCCTTTGGGGATGAACTGGGGGTAGGGTCAGAGACCAGGGAAGCTGCTATGATTGTCCCAGGTGGGAGGTGACAGATGGACCAGGTTGTGGGCATTGAGGAGATTCTGAAGAGATTTTGGAGGTAGAACCAACAAAACTTGCTGATCCACTAGGTATGGGTGTGTATGAGAGAGAGGGATTCAGGATGAACAAAGCTTCTGGACTAACCAACTGAAAAGACTGAGTATCTTTTGACAGAGATGGAGAAGGAGGGGAGCAGGTTTAGGGGGAAAGTGCCAAGGTCTGGGGACACTGAGTTGGAAATGCCTGATAGATCTCCCTGCAGAACTGGATGACCACAGCTGCATCTGTGAATTCAGGGATAAGTCTCTGGTCTGGAGATGTAAATTTTCGGGTTGATGGCTTATGGATGGTATTTAAAGCCACGGGACTGGATGAGATCACCAAGGAAGTGAGTTCAGACAGAGGAGTGCCCCTGGCCCCCAAGAATGGGTGAAGAGGTGGAAACAGCCGGGGAAACTGGGAAGGAACAACATGTGAGGGAGGAGAGCCAGGAAGGCAGAAGTCTTGAAGGCCTGGGAGAAATGATTAACATGGCCACCGACGTGGGAACTGAGAATGAGCCTCCCCTGGGAATGTCAGTTGGCTCGAGGGCTGGGAGTTCCTGTCCTCTTAGCTCACAGCTATACCACAGCACCCAGCAAAGTACCTCCCTTGCAGTAATAAATTATTTTTAATGACGAATGAATAAACGAGAACTGACCTCTGAAAAAGAAGGTGATGTGGCGAAGAGGGAGAAAAAATTTGAGTCCACCAATGTCACTCTTACCTACAGCCTTCCCTCCCTTGGGACCAGGAAGTCCTGAACCCCAGCATCCTCTTACCCCAGGACTCAGTAATACTGTCCCCTCCCAGCCCAGGCCCCAGAAATCAAAGACTCCGGCAACCCCTTGGACAGAGACCCAGAAGTCCAGGTCCCTAGTGCCCTCCTCCTTCAGGTGTCTAACCCCAGCCGCTTCTCCCTCAGACCAAAGATGGGGTCCACCAGCTCCCTCTTTCCAGGGAGGCTCAGGAGTCTGGCCCTCAATGTCAGCCCCGCCCATTCAGAGACTGGGCTTGTTCAAGCGCGACCCGGGGACTCCCGGGCCTGTGGGCGGGGCCCTGCCCTTGACTGGGCGGGGCCAGAACCCCAGTTTAAAAACTCGCGGGGCACCAACCCTAGATCGGGGACCCGGCGGCGGCTTCGCGGGGGAAGAGCGAGGCTGGCGCAGCGCCGAGGCCGCGGCCCTGGGGGCCCGCAATCCGCGCCACGGAATCCGCGAGGTAATGGAGGGGCTGGGGAGGTGAGGCACTCTCGGCTCTTGCGAACCTGAGGGACGGGGCTGGAGCATCAAGCCTGGGTGCTGAGAGTGAGCGTACTCGGTGTTTGGAGGGGGCAGGGGGCCAGGACTTCTGGGTGGTGATGGAGGAGCGGCTGGGATTCTGGGCTCCTGGGTCCTGGGGTGGGGGGAGGGTAAGGGACCGGGGATTCAGAATCCTGGGTCCGGGGGTGAAAGGGCTGGGAGCCCCGACCCCTGGGTCCTGCGGGAGGAAGGGGCTGGCGGCCCCGACTCCTTGCTCTAGACAGGGGGAGATGGAGGCCTGGGGGCGTGGTTGTTTAAAAATCAGCCACGAGCGGGTGTGGGTCAGGTCCGGCGCCCGGCCCCAGGGGTCCACGCTGGCCTTGACCCTGCCCGGGCCCCGGGAATTCCCGAGTCCCCACCCACCCCAGGTCCCCGGGCTGAGCAGGAATTCCCCACGTGCGGGGATTCCGAGAGCTCCACGCCTGGCCGCGCGCCCCGCCTCTAAGCGGGACACCTGCGGCGCGCCGCCGGGAGAGGAAGGGGTGGATGGAAGATTCCCTTGCGTGAGCGCCGTGACGTCAGCACGTCGTGTCTGGGCTGTTTCCGAGTTTGCCCTCCCTCCTCCGCTTAACCCTTCCTCCGCCGGAACCAGGGCTCAGAAGGGTGAGGGTTGAGGGTCCGGATTTCCGGGGTGGTACGGACCAGGCTTCTGGAAACTGGGACTGCCAGGTGCAAGGGAGGGCGAAGCTGAGGGCCCGGACTCCTGGGTCCTGGGAAAAGGGGGACTAGGCTCTCGGAGTCCCGCAGAATGGGGCCTGGACTCTTAGGTCTGAAGAGGGGATGGGGACTGGACTTCTGGAGCCCCGGTGAGCTCGGGGGCTCTTGATTCGTGGTTCCTTGGGGAGAGGGGCTGGGGACTCGGACGCCTGGTTTCCCGAGGAAAGTGTGTCAGGTCAGCTTCTAGGGCAGAGAGATGTTGGGAACCTGGATGTGCATCTCCAGGGAGTGATTCCCAGCGACCCCCGCCCCCCCGCCCCAGGCCTGGGGACTGGGAGATCTGGGGGCTGGGATTTTTCTCGGAAGTTGAGGGGGGGAGGTGCCGCAGAGGAGCGCCCTCCTCCCCCTTCCTCAGTTTCCACGACGCTGGTGGAAAGTTGGGTCAGAGGGGAAAGTGCGGAGCAAAGGGAAGGAAACGGCGGAGGCGGAAGCTGCACCTGAAAGCTAAGATTGGCTTTGGAGTTCTCAGGCGGCGTCAGTGTGCCAGTTTTTCCGCGCAGGAGGGCGAGGGAGGGTGCCTGAATCCACTCCCCCGCGAAGTTGGGTGACTTAAGGACCTCTGATTGCTTTCCCCCGCCTCCCCCGCCGCGTAGTGAGCCGGAGTGAACGCAGCCACTGCCCATCACAGACCGTGAAGAAGCTCCTGGAAGAACAGAGGCGCCGTCAGCAGCAGCCGGACGCTGGTGGGGTACCGGTAAGGTCCATGAAGCCCCGCAAACTATAATTCGTGAGGCTATGTCCTGTTGGGCAGAGACTTGGTGGCTTGCGGGCCCTCGGAGCAGATGAGAGGTGTAGTCCTGACTTAGATGCTCTGTGGGTGGGGATTGGATGCTGAGGGATCCGTCAGATAAATTCCCCCTTGTTCCTTTTTTTTGTTTATCCCCCTACAGGGACAGTTTCCGCCTCCCCTGGCCCAGTCCCTGACCCAATCTGTGAATGAGAGTGAGGCTGGTAAGTCTGGAAACTCATCTGGTTCCCTCAGCTTGCAGCCCCAGCTTTCTTCAGGGACTCAAACATTCCAAATCTTAGAACTTTGGGGAACTTAGGAGTCAGACCCTCTTTCTTGCTTGGACCCGGTAGCAGTTTGAGCTCCCAGATTCTCTGGAGCCCGCGGGTCTATGTACACAGTCCTTGGGTGTTCCAGGGGCCCAGGCTCCCAGCCTTTTGCTGCTCCCTGGGTCTAGGCCCTCAACCCTCAGTGTCCCTAGGGTGCAGCCACCAGAAGTCCAAGCTTTCAACCCCTTGGTGTCCTAGCTTCTGAGTCCCAGCCCTTTGGTGTCCCACAAGTACTAGCTGTCAGTACCTTGGGAGATTCCAGGCCCTCACACCCGTCCTCCAGCCTTGGTCGTGACTTCCCCAACTCTGGTAACCAGGCCTGCCCCTGCTCCTCCTCTCACACACAGGCCATTCTCGCTTCCCAGTACACCAAGAGACTGTGGGTTCTGGACTTGGCAGCCTGGCTCCCACCACAGGCTTTCCAGACTGGGACCCCAACACGCATGCTGCCTACACAGACAGCCCCTACTCTTACCCTGCTTCTGCTGCTGAAGGCTTCCCGACTCCTGACTTCTACCCGCCCTCCGACCCAGGGCGGCAGTGTTCATTTTCTGTGGGGATGGAGGTGAGATACAGACTGGGAACAGGAGGATGCTGAAGGGCCCCTAAAATTCCCAGTTGCCCTCATGCTAGATTAAGATCCCATTCTTCAGATGGGCAAAGCTGAGGCCCCAAGGTCCAAGATTACTTGGTACAGAGGGGTCACCCAGCCACTCTACCTGGCACTCTGTCTGTGTACGTGTGTATGTTAGGAAGAGGGAATTCTCAGCTGACTGGCTCTGCCCACCACATGTATCCTTCAGGACTCCCTGGATACCCGGCTTTATGCAGAACCTTCCCTGCCACAGGCAGGATCCTGGAGAGGTTCCGGACTCCCCCTAGGACCCCCACAGTTACCCCCTATGGCCACTGGACCATCCCTGGACACAGCCCGTGCTCACATGCTGGCTTTGGGGCCACAACAGCTGCTGGCCCAGGACGAGGAGGGAGACACGTGAGTATAGGGGATTGCAGTCTGCCTGTTCCTGGCTTCGCTGGGGTGCTGTGCTCACTGCTTGTCCCCTACCTGTCCTCAGGCTCCTGCATCTGTTCGCGGCTCGGGGGCTGCGCTGGGCAGCATATGCCGCAGCTGAGATGCTCCAAGTGTACAAACATCTGGACATCCGTGAGCATAAGGGCAAGGTGAGGGCCAGGGGCCTGGACTCCTGGCTTTGAAGGGAAAAGGTCTGGGGGTCTGGGTTGTTGGCTTTCAGAGGGGACGAGCCTGGGGGCCCAGACTGACCTTCTTATCCCCTGCAGACCCCTCTCCTGGTGGCTGCTGCCGCCAACCAGCCCCTCATTGTGGAGGATCTACTGAACCTCGGAGCAGAGCCCAATGCCACTGATCATCAGGGACGTTCTGTCTTGCATGTGGCTGCTACCTATGGGCTTCCAGGAGTCCTCTCGGTACGGCCAGCTGGCCGGTGGGGTAATGGGATGGACTGGTTCCTCAGATCCTGGCTTCCAGGGCTAGGAGGCCTGGGGAGACTCTAATCCAGCACTGTGCCTTCTCCTCCTCAGGCTGTGATTAACTCGGGGGTTCAGGTTGACCTAGAAGCCAGAGACTTCGAGGGTAAGTTGGGTGGTGGGCAGGGTGGGTATGGCAGGTGGGGCTGGGGTGGGGTGAGCACTCTGGATGCAGAGCCCTCACCATCTCCATCCTGCAGGCCTCACCCCTCTCCACACAGCCATCCTGGCCCTCAACGTTGCTATGCACCCACCTGACCTATGTCCCCGGGTGCTGAGCACCCAGGCCCGAGACAGGCTGGCTTGTGTCCAGATGTTGCTGCACATGGGTGCTGATCACACCAGCCAGGTGAGTGGAGCCGTGGGCAGCCGGCCCCTAGAAGGGTGTGTGGGATGGGTAACCTGGATGTCCAGGGGCTCCAAACAAACGCTGATTTTGCCCCTTGCCAGCCATGTGAACTTGAGTACATGGCTTCATTTTTCTGTGCCCCAGAGAATAAGATTACTGATCTTAGCTTATATTTATCAAGCACTTACCATTCATCAAGCACTGAGTGTCACGGATTAGCTAATTGAATCCTCACCAACCCCCTTTGACATGTGCACTGTTATTACTTTTCCTGCTTTACTGATAGAGAAACTGAGGCACAGGAATCAAAAATCTTACAGCTTGTAAGAGTCAGAGAGGGGATTAGAATAAGGTGGCCTCATGCCAGACCCCACACCTTCACAGTTATGTTCTCCTCCTCCCTCTGGTAGTAGCTCCTTCACGGGCTGGCTGAGAGAATTAAGCATCCACTTATTGTTTTGTTTTGTTTTTTAGTTAAAGAATTTTGAACACAGATAAAATACAGAAAATAGTAGAGTGACCTCCCTGTCCCCAACATCAATAATCAGCAACTTGTACCCAGTCCCGCCCCATCCATTCCTCGACCTTCCTATAGTATTTTAAAGCAAACCCAAGCATGTATTTTTATCCACAAAAATTTGTGTCTTTAAAGAACTCTTTTAACCTTAATACCATCATTTCACCTTAAAAAAAAATTAATCTTATAATATCAAATATCCTGGCTGTGTTCAAATTTCTGATTGACTCTAAAGCGATATATATTGTTTTTTCATTAAAAAAAACTCGGATCCAAATAAAGCCCACATGTTGCCATTATAAGACTTTTAAAGTCGTTCTTAATCTAGAGCTTCCTGCTCTATCTCCTTGTCTCCTCTTCATTATTTATCTGGTGAGCCAACTAGGTTGTTTTGCCTTGTATAAGCACATCATATTTTTAATGTCCATTATCATTCCAAACTCTTGAAAGGCACATAATAAAGCTTTATTGTGGAAAATGTCTTTTTATTTGCTCCAAAATATGAAGAGAACAACTCAGTATGGAAGCGCATCTGGGCTTAGTGAGTCCCCTGATTAATGCTGCTCAAGTCCCATCCTTACAGATAAAGTACAGTCCATGTGGGATGTGGATACATTTTACTGTGCTTAATAGAATGTCGGGTGGCCAGGGCAGCTGCTAGCCCAGAACTCTTTTGGAGGATTAGATAAGAATGTTTTTCTCAAAGACACTCGGGCTAGAAAATTGTCAAAATAAACATACAGTCCTGTGATGTGTATGATGTGAATGGCTCCCCCTTAAAGGTGGTACTCTTGTATAGTGCACAACATAGATAACTGTGTAAGGCACCCCTGGGTGCTTGCAAAGGAGAGACAAGGTGTCTAAAGGCTCTTGGGTTTTGTGGGAGGGGCTCTGGGTGTGAGGACTGGCCTGACCTCCGCCGTTTCTTTCTCTACAGGAGATCAAGAGCAATAAGACAGTTCTGCATCTGGCTGTGCAGGCCGCCAATCCTACCCTGGTTCAGCTGCTGCTTGAGCTGCCCCAGGGAGACTTGCGGGCCTTTGTCAACATGAAGGTGGGGGCCTAGGTTAGAATGTACGAGTGCGTGAGATGTGATGGAGAAGGGCAGGGGGATGTTGGGAGGCCTGTGGGCTGTGGCTATGGCAGGGACAACGTAGGGAACAAAGGTGGGGACCGTATAGGATGTGGCTGTAGATTGTAGGAATGTATAGGACATAGACCGAGGGGTGTGTGGAATGTGATTGTAGAGGGGATTCTGGGATGTGAGTAGGGGCACGCGGGATGTGGCTGTGAAGGCGGGAGTGTGGGATTTGGCTGTGGCAGACTCTGAAGCGTTGAGGGCCCAGGCCAGCTGAGTCCAAATCCTTAGCAGTCTTCCCTTCACTGTCCCCAGGCCCATGGGAACACAGCCCTCCACATGGCGGCCGCCCTGCCCCCTGGGCCCCCCCAGGAGGCTATTGTGCGGCGCCTGCTGGCAGCTGGGGCAGATCCAACACTGCGAAACCTGGAGAATGAGCAGCCCATCCACCTGCTGCGGCCTGGGCCGGGCCCTGAGGGGGTGAGCATGGAGCCCACCCTGACTGCAGAGTGGCCTCTGACCTAACGGGGTGAACCCCTGACCCTACCCATTTATGACTTTAGAGGGTGACTTTTAATCTCAGAAGGTGACCTTGATCCCTATCCAAACCTGACTTGAAAATGTGACCTCTGACCCCAGTGTTTTATTTTTGACCTGGTATTGGTGACTCCTCCTGACCTCTACTTCAACTCTGACCTCTACTTCTAACCCTGAATCCTGACCTCAAGGTATGACCTTGGATTCCCAAGTATGGCCTCCAAGCCCCTGCCCCAGCCCTGAGTTCTGACCTCTCAAAGTGGGACTTCTGACCCCTAAATGTGACCTCTGACCCCTTGCCTCTACCGTTCGACTCCTAGTGCTCAATGTTAACCCCAAAGTGGGAATCCCCAACCAGCAACACCTTCCCCCTTCATCCCTTCTGGCTCCTGAACCTTTTCTCAGTGTGTGAACCATCATCCCTAACCCCAAATCTTGACTCTGAACCTCTGACCTGCAAACCCAATTGATCCTACTCTGCTTCTCCACCTTCCCCTCCAACTTCACAGGGTTTGTGGCCCTGACCTCTCTTTCCAGCCTCCTTAACTTCTCTTCCCCTGTCTTGTCTGCAGCTCCGGCAGCTATTGAAGAGGAGCCGTGTGGCACCCCCAGGCTTGTCCTCTTAGGACTCAAACCCAGAACCTGGACTGATTTTCCAGTCCCCACCGTCCTGTGGGACAGCCAGCGTATGCTAATGTTGCAAATCCATGATAATGTATGTGGAATGTCCTGCCATCGGGGTCTTACATTAAAACCCCAACATGGCTGCTGGGGGTAAACAATCCCCAATATTTGGGGTGGCGTAATACCCCTCCCCCACCCACAAGGAGCCCTCTTGATGATTTCTGTGAAATCGAGGCCCCTTGATTGTTTCTGTGAAACACCCTAGACCCCTAACCCTTTCTCCATTGGGATCTTTTGGGACCCCTTCCCTACTCAACTCTAGTTCAACTCACCTAGAACCCCAGATGGGATTTCCCTACACAGTACTTGGGGTACCCCCAGAATAGCTCCCAGTGTCATCCAGTAGAGCTCCTAAGATGACCCCCCAAACCTCCGCAGGACCCACACCATTCAGGTCCTTACCCCTGAGACATAGGGAAGGACTCTCCTAGATTGGAGTCCCCTAGGTCCTATGCTTTCTAATTCAGAACTCAGATCTCCGCCCTTCCAGTGAATCCCTCCCCTTTCTGAAACTCCTTATTAAACTCAGTTTGGACTGCACTGTCATTGTCTCAGTCTCTGGGGGTGTTGGTGCAGGGGAGCGGCCGTGGTGCTTGGCTGAGGAGGCATGTTCGGATGACTGTGTGGGGTGGGGTGTGTAGCAGACTGGAGGTGCCAAGTCTGCATCGTGTCACCTTTACCCTGTCAGCACCTGGTGGTCTGCCTGCCTATGGCAGGCAGTGTTCCCATGGGCCTGGGGACCCGCGAGACCACTGGTGCCCACTCTACCCTGGGTATGAGCCTGGTAGCCTTAACTGCCAATGAGTTTATGCCACTTCCTATCTAACAGCCCTCAAAGCAGAGACTGAAAGGAGATGGTACAGAAAGACTCCAGATCCCTCACCTCTCTACGAGGATAATGTGGAAGTGTGTGTTCTACACAGGCTCCCAGAGCTCCCCAACAGAATTACGCTCCTGTTCCCCACGCTAGCTCTGGCTTGATGACATACCCTTTCCTGACTGCTCTCCCTTTTCTGTGTCCTGTCCTACCTCCCCTACCAATAGATTGTCCTCAAATCCTGCTTCTGGGGAGACCCAAGCTAAGACCTCCACAATGCCCCCTTCTCGTAACTGCCCCACAGCCTCTGCTTTGGACTCCATCCCAATCTTGTCACCAAAAGAGCCCCGCCGAAAGCCCTCTGACTCATCTTAGCCCCCCACTGCTCAGAGCCTCTCAAGGACAACAAACCACACTTTGGGGCATGTGCCCGTGTCTCCACCCCAAAAGTTAAGGCTTGAAACAACCATCTCTATTTGCTCATGATCCTACAGTCTGGGCTGGGCTCAACTGGACAGTCCTGCTTTGGTCACTCATGTGGCTGCAGTCAGCTAGAGGCCTGAAGGGGCCGGACAACTTCACTCCCATGTCTGATAGCTCAGCTGGGATGGCTGGAACCACTGGGAGTGGGCCAAGCATCTCTTTCTCCATGTGGTCTCTCCAGGAAGGTGGGTGGATCTCTTCCCGGGGTGGTTCCAAGAGGAAGTGTTCTTTTTTTTTAAAGATTTTTAAAAAAAATTTGTTTGACAGAGTGAGAGAGCAGAAGCAGGGGGAACAGTAGAGGGAGAGGGAGAAGCAGGCTCCCCCACCAAGCAGGGAGCCTGATGTGGGGCTCGATCCCAGGACCCTGAGATCAATACCCGAGCCGAAGGCAGGTGCCCAAACCATCTGAGCCACCCAGGCGACCCAAGAGGAAGTGTTCTAAGAGAACAAATCCTAGCTTGCATCATGCTTGTTGACATCACACTGGTCAAAGTTGTTCACATGGCCAAGCCCAGAATTTGGGGAGGGGGCACTACACCAGGGCTTGAATATTGGGAGGTGGAGTTTCAGGAGCTTCCTGTGTTAGTCTTCCACATGAGCAGCCCTGTACCAGCACACATTGCTCTTCTGTGTATGCACATGGTGGCAGGTGACCCATGAAGAATTCATGGGAATATTACTCCATAGATTCTAAGAACTTAACTGGAATTCCTCTTACAGTCATTGTGTGGCATAGTTTAATTTCTGTATTTTTTCCTTTGTGGTACATAAAGGTATTTTATCTATCTATCTATCATCTATCTATCATCTCTCTATCTATCATCTTAGAGAGAGAGTGTGTGAGTGGGGGGTAGGGCAGAGGGGGAGGGAGAGGGACAAGCAGACTCCGTGCTGAGCTTGGAGCCCAACGTGGAGCTCAATCCCAGTACTCATGATCAGTCCGGAGCCAAAACCAAGAGTTGGATGCTCAAAAGACTGAGCCATCCGGGCGCCCCCATAGGGATATTTCTTATCATTGATGGCATCTTAGAGTTGACTGACATATAAGATTTATATCCCATCATGTATCAACAAACACATGCACACACATATTAAAATGACAGAATGATAAAATGTCTTTTAAAAACTATTATTAAAAGACAAATTAATAAATTGTTTTCAATGAGAAAAGAAGAGCAGTTTAGTGGCACAAGAGCATCAAATGAACAACGGCAATCCCCTGCTGGAATTTCAGTAATAAATGTTTTAAAATTAATTACCCTAAGTATTGCCATCAATATGTAAACATTATTAAGGAATCACACACTGAGCATAGTGAGCAAAATGGCCTTTCACTTCCTGTTCCACCAGCTTGGAGCTCCTTACTCATTGTTAGCCTGTTGATCACCCTTGACTGTGAAAACTCAAAGGCAGCAATTCCCCGTCATACTAGTCATAGATTTCTGCCAGGTACAGTACAATACAACTAAAGGTATAACCAGTATCAGAATGATGTTGGAAACTGGGTTCTCCAATGATTGTATCCAACTTGCATCATGTAAACATCTTCCTCCCAATGTCTACCACGTCTATATTTAATATACATGACTTGTATTTACATGTATATATTATGATGAGACACTCTGAGCTCATAGGCTCTTTGGGAGAAAATCTAATTCTAGGTGCTTCCTCCCTAAGCCATCTGTCAGAAAATTGTGTAGTAAGCTGACCTTAGGGTGTGACACATTACTGCCACCTGCTGGGAAGTTGTGGTAAAAATGCAAATCTACAGTGTCTAGAAAATGAATGCTATCACTTTCTATCACTTGGAATTTTGCAGTGCACACCCTGAACAGCATATGGGACAGCCTCGAATTACTAGACAGCAGGTTAGCAAAATAATAAGAGTATGGATGCTGGACCCAGGTTGCCCGGGTTGAATCCCTAACTCTGGCCATTCCTAGGTGGTGACCAAGGGCATGTGATGTAACTTATCTCCATTTCTTTTTTTTTTTTTAAAGATTTTATTCATTTATTTGAGAGAGAGAGAATGAGAGAGAGCACATGAGAGGGGGGAGGGTCAGAGGGAGAAGCAGACTCCCTGCCGAGCAGGGAGCCCGATGCGGGACTCGATCCAGGGACTCCAGGATCATGACCTGAGCCGAAGGCAGTCGCCCAACCAACTGAGCCACCCAGGCGCCCCTTATCTCCATTTCTTAACCTATAAACAGGAATAGTCATAGTACTTGCTTCATGGGATAGAAGTAATTAAGTGTGTCACTCTGTAAAAAGCTCTGGGAGCAGTGCCTGGCATAGAGTGAGTGCTTTATGAGTATTTGCTGCCATACTGTTTTTGTTTGTTTGTTTTTAGATTTTATTTATTTGAGAGAGAGAGCACGAGAGAGAGCATGAGCGGGGGAGAGAGGTAGATGGAGAGGGAGAGGCAGACTTCCCCGCTGAACAGGGAGCCCGATGCTGGGCTTGTTCCCAGGACCCCGGGATCAAGACTCGAGCCGAAGACAAATGCTTAACTGACTAAGCCACCCAGGTCCCCCTGCTGCCATACTGTTTTAAAATTTATTTAACAAATACTTGTGAAGTAACAGGCACAGTTCTAACATCTCCACAAATACTAGCCCTTTTAATCTCCATAACAACCCTCTTGGGGCAGGGAACAGCATATGCAGAGGATTAACCCCAACGTCACAAGCTGGGGTGTATGAAGGTTTAAGTTCCAATAGGCATTTGCAGACATCACATTCCCCTCTCTGGGACACGTAACTGGAATTTCCATGCCTCAGGGGGGATTCCTATTGCCTCCCAAAGAAGGGATGAAAACTTGTGAATGGGAAGAGGGGTTCAAGATTCTCAGTCCCTTCTTGGGATCGCAGATTGGGGGTGGATGCTGTGTGTGATTGGGTGTGAGGGTGAATAGAAGGCAGGAGAAACTGCCAGAACACAGCTTCCTCAGAGTCTGTCCTGGGATTCAGCAAATAGAGGTCTGGAAGTAACAAAGCGTTCAGCACCACGGAAAGCTCCTGAGTGGGCGGGAGAGCCTAGCCAGCCTTTGGGCCCCGCCCCCTGCACGCCAACCCCAGCCCTTCCTACAGGCTCCCCCCAGATCATACTGTTTGAAGAGGTGAAGGAGGCCTGGGCAGGGATCCACACCAGCGTCCAGAGCTGTGATTACACCCTGATTCCCCCACAGAGACGCAGGATGGCATGGTGGGGAAAAGGATTTTATTGGGTTGTTAGTGGAGAGCACATGGGAGGGTGACTTCTAGGGAACAACAGACACTGGGACCAAGCTAGTGGTCACCTTAAGGAACAATAAATTAACTTAACAAAATAAATTAAGGTGAGGAAGTCCCAAGCAGGGAGGTAGCTGGGAATACCTGGGGATTTCTTGGGAATGGAATTTGGAATTCGAAAGGGGAAATAAGAATTTCCAGCCCCCTCACAAACAGTGTGAAATGAACATTTTTGAGACCCCTTCCCCGGGCTGGGAGTTGGGGTTCTGGGGCTCCAGGAAGAGGGAAGGTCTGGGCTCAGCCAAAGGAGGTGAAGGGGGCTGGTTCAGGGTCGTTCCTCCAGGAAGCGGTAGGTGGGGTTCTCATAGCCATGACGCTGCAGTTCCCGAAGCTGTTGCTCCTCCAGGGTCAGCATAGGGTCCACCTGCAGGAGGGCCGGGAGGAGCAGAGGGGCGTAGGGACCTGACCGCAGATCTCAGAGTTCCTCTGCGTCCAGGCTCTGGAATGCCTCCCCCATCCCATGTGTCTGTGTCTCTCACCTCCACCACTCCATGGCTGATAGCCCCATAGGGCTTCTTCCTGCGCAAGAGCAGCAGGGAGAGGACGATCAGGGAGCCCCCACCTGCTCCCATGATCAGCAGACCAGACACGGCCTCTCGGGACACACCTGTCCCTGCTGGTGCCTGCGTGGAGAGGACATGGGGCAGGGGCCATCTTTGAGGCTCACCAAGGCCCTGTGTGGCTTTGGGAGTCACACAGCCTAGCCACTGACTTCTGACCTCTCCCCCTAGGTACCCAGAACAGTCCTCCTCTTACCAGCTCATCTCTCTGAATCTCCGAAGAGTGGAAAGGAAAACCCCTTGGAACAGACACATTCACCTGGGGAAGCAGCAGGTGTAAGGGACTCAGGAGTCTGGGCCCCAAGAGGGCATCCCCCAGCCTTCTTCTTCCCTAGGACCCCAAAGTCCATGTCCTCAATCCCTTCTTCCCTCAGGCCAAGGAATCCAAAC